CACCTCCACAGGTAAGCCTTCACGAAGTTCTCGGGGAGAGAGCTGGGTTGAAAGGGTATGGAGCTCTCCTGAGGCTGAAAGGTGGGTAGGCCGTTTGGTTTGTTGATGTCTGGATAAATCAATCATTTTTATTTTCGTCGTCATGATTTCAATTTAATAGTCGCTTGCTATGAGAGGAGTCTCTAAGTTACTTGAGAGCATAAAGTATAATATAAAATCAGAAAACAGCAATACAAGCTATACAATAACCCGTAGCACAGACCCAATAAAGCAGCAGCAAACCCTTCAGCAGCAGAGTATGGGTTCAGCAATAACTTGGGGTGGGGGGGTAATGTGGCTCCCCTCTCAGAAAAATATTCCCCGGTATAGTTTGTGCATGACACTGCATCACTTTCTGTAAGAGAGATTACTATATACCTGATTACTAGCAAGGGAATGCATAGGCTGACTGATTCCATGGAATAACATTGTTTGTGAAGTGATAAGAATGTTCTAGAACCGTGGTTCCCAACATGGGGCACACGCCCCACAGGGGGGCAATTTGATTTTTAAGGGGGGCAATTCGAGAATGAGTTATTAACAGTGAATGGCCTTTAGGCTTCCTCCACGTGAATATGAGTTCACTTTTTGAATAATAATAATTATATGTCAGGAGGGGGGGTCAGGATTTTAGAGATGCTTAGGTGGGGCATAGCCAAAAAAAAGGTTGGGAACCACTGTTCTAGAATGACCCATTCAGCATGGCCAGCCTGCCCATGAGGCTGGTTGAAGTAGCTGCCTCAGGTGGTGGAAGTTGAAAAGACAGTGCCCCCATGGGTGCCCCCTGCCGTGCTGCCAGTGGAGAAGTGGCACTGGCACTGGCATCGCTTCTCCACCAGTGGCTGTCCTTCAGCTTCCCAGGTATGGGCAGCATGGCGACACGTTCCCATTTCATCTCAGGAGGCAAAACAGGATGCGCTGCCCCTGCCATTCAGTCATACGAATCACCCCCTGATGTTGCAGCCATCAAGTGATAAATGTGCAGGCATGAACCAGCAGTGGCGTAGCGTGGGGGGTGCAGGGGGGGCCGGCTGCACCGGGCGCAACATCTGGGGTTAGGGCAAATCCACAGGTTAGGAGGCGCAAATCCACGGGTTAGGGGGCGCAAATTACTTGCCTTGCCCCGGGTGCTGACAACCCACGCTACGCCACTGTGAACCAGATATACATACGTAATATTTTAATGGTGCAAATGAGCCATTTGTGTTTGCACGCAAACAGTAAATGGAAAAGGATCAGGGCCTACGGTGTCTGTATTTTAAAAGAACAAACATGGCTGGACAATTTCAGATGCTCAGTTGTGAGTATTTCTTGCCCTGGGGAATCACACCTGAGTGCAAACCTTGTTTAAAGCACTTCTAAATACCTTCTTGGAAAATAAGTGTCTTAATGATTTCATGCTTGCTCACTTTCCACGGCAAACGGTGCCATAAAGGAAGATTGTTGGTAGCAATACAGTACAGATGAAGGTATGAAGAGCCTTTCTTGTGGATCTAAGGCAGCAAGTAACTGGCATCAGCAGAACTGTAGATAAAAGTTTATGGAGTCTTGAGTCGGAATATTCTATGGATACGCGTTCAGATTTCATTGTACCTTCAGCATCAAATCTGAGACAGGTCAGTGAGCACAAGCAATTTGTGTTCTAAATATATACACACTGTACTTCTCAGGACCGCAGATAACCCTTCTATGCTGTTCCCCCTCACCCCATTGGAACTGTAACAGAGTTCAAACGTTGCTCTCATGTTCCCCAACTGAGCAGGAAATTCCCAAAACATGCTCAGGCCCATTAGGAATACAAAGAATGCAGAAGAAGAGTTCCATGAATAGAAAACATTGTGGGTAAGAACATGAGCTGTTCCCACTCCCCACCCTCCAAAGATGATAGAGCAACTGCTCCAAATTCTGGAGCCACCAACTTCGTCCCAGTTGTTTCTGATTTTTGCTGCATGTTGCAGTGAAACTGATGGATGGGGTGGAATCCAAGAGTAAGGCTTAGTCAAGGATATGGCGTCCTGAGGTCCCTGCCAGCTTTTGCAAGTGGACTGAACCCAGGCAGCTGAATGTGGACCTCTGCCAGGGAGTTGGGGGCAACAGGATAGGATTGTAAATTTGTTTGACTTGGTCACTGCAAACTGAGTTTTCATGGGACTTAATAAAAGAGTGTTCATGTTCATTTATTTGATTTTAAAATCTTTAAACTGCCCTTTGTCCAGACAAATCCCTGGGTAGTGTAGAATAAGAATAATACACTGTTTTGTGCCACCCCAATATCCAATTGGTATGAGATTCTGAGGGTTCCAGGCGCTTACCCAAGGTTTGTGCTTCCTTTGGAATGAGGGACAGCGGAGACTGTGGTGTTGTTATGATATATGGCTTATTTACACATACAGTGGTGCCTCGCAAGACGAAATTAATTTGTTCCGCAAGTTTTGTCGTCTTGCAATTTTTTTCGACTTGCGAAGCACGGTGTCGGAAAAGTTTTGGAAAAGCTTCAAAAATCACCAAAGTCTTCAAAAACCTCAAAAAGGCTACCACACCGCGTGCTATGAGTTGCTCCTCGAAGTCAAGTCGCAACTGTATTAACGGTGTTAAGAAAAAGGAAACAAACTTGCAAGACGTTTCCGTCTTGCGAAACAAGCCCATAGGGAAAATCGTCTTGTGAAGCAGCTCAAAAAACAAAAAACCCTTTCGTCTTGCGAGTTTTCCGTCTTGTGAGGCATTCGTCTTGCGAGGTACCACTGTACATACAACCTGAGCCTACGATGGAGGTTTTCACAGCATTAACACTCCAAGAGGGCCTTGTTTATCCCATAGCCACAGCCTTGCATTCACACACAAATCAAGCATCACTCTGACTCTCTGGCTTCCCAGCCTGCAGCATTTTTCCAGCTTCTAGCTCACACCCTTCAATTCTTCACTCTCACCTTTGTCTTTCTAAGTACCAGCAAGTTTGTCATCTGGCACAAATCCACTTCCTTTGTTCTCTTAATGTCCCCATCACCTAGGCTATCACCTCACCAGGAAGCTAGCCTGACTCTTCTAGGAATTTTAATCCCTGCTTATATTACACTTGCTGGACTCAGGGGATAGAAGAGTTTCAACATACAGCCTACTCCCCCTCCCACCACCGGCCAACTCATAACAATACAATAGAATCAAAACAGAATTCATCACAATAAAGATACACACACCCATTCCCTGTTACATCCCACCCGACTCCCTGCAAATACCACACAGTCTTTTTTAAAAAATAAAATTTATTTTCCATTTTCCCCCATTAGTATTTTGACATAAATGCAATCCAGTATTTTTCAACAAATATATGCAAATGTTGTTGTTGTTTAGTCGTTTAGTCATGTCCGACTCTTCGTGACCCCATGGACCAGAGCACGCCAGGCAAATATCACAAATATGCAAATACCACAGTCTTAAACTGGCATCAAATAAATTGTAAAGTCAAGCTTTTGGGGGGGGTGAGGGGGGGATTGCCATGTCAAATGGGCCCTTGCTGTTTATGGCCTTAAAAGCATGCACCAGGACCCATCTGTATTTCTTAATGACTTTTTATGGTCTCCTGAATAGGCAGTTTGCCAGCAGGGCTGGAATATGGGACGGTTCTCAGCAGTTGTGTACATGAGAAACAGCACTGGCAATTTAAATAAGCAACAAATACAGAGACTGGCAGGATGGGGAGAAAGTCAGACTCTTGTGGTTGGCTGGAGTTAGCTGGATCTGGAACTGGGGTGTTCAGCAGCTGCTACCTACGTGTGGGATGTCTGTTTGCCTCCAGTCTGCTTGCCTATTTGAAGGGGGAGGGGGACAAATATTGCAAAGAAAACCAGAACTCAGTTGTTTTCGTACACAGGAAGAACTCATCCCAGCAGCACAGCCCCTGAAGCTCTTTACCACTCAGGGAAACAGAAATGTGTAATCTCCTAGCACACACCTTCCTCCATTAGGGGTGAGGATCAACTGTCTCCCCCCTTTCCTAGTGCTAGACCAGGGGTCAGCAAACTTTTTCAGCAAGGGGCCAGTCCACTGTCCCTCAGACCTTGTGGGGGGCCAGACTATATTTTGGAGGGAAATGAACAAATTCCTATGCCCCACAAATAACCCAGAGATGCATTTTAAATAAAAGCACACATTCTACTCATGTAAAAACACGCTGATTCCTGGACCATACGCGGGCTGGATTTAGAAGGCGACTGGGCCAGGTCCAGCCCCCGGGCCTTAGTTTGCCTACCCATGTGTTAGACTGAGCAGTTTGCATTCCTTCATCCTTAAGCATTTTTAGAAAATTATCTGAAGGCATTTCCTGTTCTGCATGGCAGGTCATGGGTCAGGAATGTTGGGTGGCTGTGAAGGGGCCGCCCATCTCCTGGGCCCAATGCTTCCTGATTCTGAAGCAGCTGCAGCCAACATTTCAACTCCCCGCCCAGTTTCTATCGGGGAATTAGGGGGGGGATTTAAATGGCAGCTCCCAGCCACAGGCAGTGCTTGCCAGCTAGAGCATTGTGTCATGTTACACCCCCAGCATCTGTCACCAAGATAAAGATGGGGAGCATGCAAGTTGTTGTATTTGAACATCATTAATGGATTATAGTATGCTTTACTGTTTGTCTTATGGTTCAGTTTTCCTGCACCCCCCCTCCCCACAAATGGGTAACACATATATTTGATACATTGAATTAATTTTGTTTAAAAAAAAAAAAGACAGCACCTGAACAGGGTAGAAAATTATCCTGGCTTGCTGCTGTGCCTTTTAACAGCATCTTAATCAGCAGAGATCAGCAAATGAAACCTTTTATGTCCTGGAGATAAGCATAATAATCTGCTAATGTCTTTACAGCTACAGTGGTACCTTGGTTCTCGAACTTAATCTGTTCCAGGAGTCCATTTGACTCCCAAAACTGTTTGAAAACCAAGGCGCAGCTTCCAATTGGCTGCAGGAGCTTCCTGCACTTGAGCGGAAGCCGCACTGGACGTTTGGCTTCCGAAAAGCGTTTGCGAATCGGAACACTTACTTATGGGTTTTCAGCATTCAGAAGCCAATTTGCTCGACAACTAAACCATTTGAGAACCAAGGTACCACTGTATTCATAAAGGTACCACTGTATTAAAATAAAGGATGGAGATGGTGTACGCAACATCACTTTTTGGCTGTGGAAACATCCACTGCGCTCCCACTGGTGTTCAGAACACAGTGTGCACACAGCATTAGCCGCAATCCATATCTTTCCTGCACCCTATCTCTCCCCCCCCTAAATAGTGTGTTTTGATGTGTTTCCTCCCAAACCAACTTCGATCCAATATCGATCCAACAAAAAGGACAACCTTGCTGCTTTTTAAGCTGGTAACATGTACACAGTTCTTTTCTCATTTTGGATCGAAGCTGGTTTGGGTAAAATACATCAAAACTCAAGATTTCGTAAGGAACGGCAGGACTGATACAAGATAAATATGGATTGTGGCTAATGTGTGTATCCTGCTTTTCAAACCAGCAGTGGGAGTGCACTCTAAACGGAGTAAAGGGAATGTGCGGTTCAGTGAAGGCTCAGACACGGAGGGGACACCTCCAAACTCCAGCATCAGCCAGAGCCGAGCAGCTTTTCAGAGAGCTGCAAGGGGGAGGAAGAATCAGCAAAAAATGCTTTCCCCCTTCCTTCAGCAGAAACACCCCAACAGTGGAACTGTGCTCATAGGAGCTCAAGTTCTAAGCCACATGTTTCAATTTTGCTTGCCGAAAACTGCAACAGGGGAGAGGAACTGCCATAAAATGTTTTGGAAACTCTGAGTAACCTTTTTTCATTGGCAGACGTGGGAAAGTTGTGGTGCAGAAGAGAACTTTCCTTCTTAACTTATTGGAAAATTCAGAGTAATTCCAAGCACAGAATCCAGCTCTGTTTTTGTCTTCCTGCCCAGTCCCGAGGCAGATGCTTGAAAATGGGAAACCCATTTTCTCCTAAGAGTTGCGGCTTCTTGTTTCCAGACTTGACATTCCAGAACATAAGGGCTGCTCTGTGCTGTTTGTTTCAAGGTGGGACCTTGTTTCAGGATCACTTTACGTGGAAATTTAGTTACTTCATTTTATGAACCAGGGATTCCAGGTAAGCTGTGCAGGAGAGGGGGAGATTTGAACTCGCGTCTCCCCAGTTTCATGCCAATACTCTAACCACTACACCACATTGCCTCTCTTACTTTTGTTTGTCCATCTATGTATGCATTGTGAGGAGCCAGGGTCAAGCTCAATTCCTATTGCCTGTGTGAAAAATGCAGCTGCAAGCATTTAGTTTTTTTAATCGTGTGAACACCTTTAGGTATTTAGGCGCCCCTAGGTGTGGAAGATTTTACAAGGGCGCCATACAAATCCTTAGATTATATTGAAATTACACAGCTTTAAAAAAGTTATTCTTTATTGAAAAATTAAAAGGATTTTTGTACCCAGTATAAAGTTACAAGTGAAAAGAATAACAATTGTTAAAATACACCTGTGGAAAAAAGATTGTACTTATCCTAAACTTAACCTAATACTGTGTTTGTACAGATGATTTCTAAATATTGTTAATTTTGTCCTTGGCAAGTCTAGATCTGTACTTGTTTGTCTATTCCCAGTAACAAGGGCTGGTGGACTGGCTGGCTGGACTCCCTCGCCCACTTGCTTACTCCAAGGCCACTTCAGTTCCTGGCAACCAGTACCAACCCCAGAGGCACCATTCGCCTGGGGAGCTTGTGGCCAGGGCTGGTGCAATAAACAGCTGTGCAAGCCTTTGGGAGGCAGAGATGCAAAAGGGCATCAGAGGAGGGAGGGAAGAAAAGTCAGAACAGTGCCACGGCACACTGGTTGAAAACCACTGGTGTACAGGATGCAGGTTCTCTGCACAAGTTCCCTTTCAAATGTTAAATGCAAAAGTGACTGTGCATATGGCTGAGTAGCTGCAGAAGAACAGCCAGAGAAAAGGGAGGGGGTTAATGTTAATAATAATAATAATAATAATAATAATAATAATAATAATAATATATTATTTATATCCCGCCCATCTGGCTGAGCTTCCCCAGCCACTCTGGGTGGCTTCCAATCAAGTGTTAAAAACAATACAGCATTAAAGGTTAACCCTTTCTGATGAAAAAATCCTCCCCAGCAACTTTTCTCCCTGGGAAGGAAGGGTACCCCCCAAAAACCTTTTCCTCCCCAGTGGTGGAAAAGCTTGAGTGAGTGCTCAAGGGAGGGAGAGGGAGGGTTTTTTTAAAAGAAAAAGAAAAGTGTTGTTTTTTCAAAAATATATGCACAATTGCATCTCCTTTCCAATTCGTTGCCTCAGGGTCTTATTTTTAAAATTCTAATCCATTGCAAAAATAGTCACAGGTCTGGTATGGTGAATTTTTGCAAACTTATTGAGAGTTGGTTGCAGCTGTCTAACATTGGTCGATGTGGACAGGCAGGCTCATAAAAAAATGTTTGCTTGTCCCGGTCTCTTAGTCTGTGCTTTGATCCTTGCCTGGGTGTTCTCTGATTCTTTCCCACCCATTGCTTCACTTGGCATACTCTTCCTCAACTTGTCGTTTGGGTTTAATTTTGCATTTTATTTCCTTGGTCTGTGACCGCGGTAACTCATTTGTTCACCATTCTTCTGTCTCTGTGCCCTTCCTTGCGACAACGTGAACTTTCCCCTCCTTTCCCTCCCTGCTCCCACCTGCTCCTAGGGAACATCCGTCTTTGTGATCATCACCAAACTCATTGTGACGAAGAACCAGTTCCAAGGCGTCTGCCCTGATGTAAGCAGGTCAGGCAAGAGAGGGTGAAGGGAGGTGGCCTGGGGCTGTGGCTTCTCCTGCCATGTCTTCCGTGCTCTAGACAAAAAGGGGCTTAGCCTTTTGTGCTTCCCTCCTTAGCTATTCCTTTGAGAAGACTATCCTGGTGGCAGAGGAAGCTTTGCAGCAGAAGCTGTCAGAGTGGTAGGGCAGAGCTGCAGAGCCGCCCTCCTGACGCCATGTAGCTTGCTTGAAGCGGGTGTGCTGGGGCACAGTGGCAGCAACATGGGCACAGCCAATCCGGTGTTCATGCTGGTGGCAGCTCTGACGTTCCGCACTGGCCTGTTCATTTTGGAGTATAAAAAGCTGCCTTCACCGTCTAGCTCAGAACTGCTCACACTAATTGGCTACAATGGTGGCAGAAAAAGGGGCGGGGTGGAGTTCATGGATTTTATTAATGGGCTCCTTCCCTCCAAAAAGGGACGCGCTGTGGGTAAAAGCCTCAGCGCCTAGGGCTTGCTGATCGAAAGGTCGGCGGTTTGAATCCCCGCAGCGGGGTGCGCTCCCGTTGCTCGGTCCCAGCGCCTGCCAACCTAGCAGTTCGAAAGCACCCCCGGGTGCAAGTAGATAAATAGGGACCGCTTACTGGCGGGAAGGTAAACAGCGTTTCCGTGTGCTGCGCTGGCTCGCCAGATGCAGCTTGTCATGCTGGCCACGTGACCCGGAAGTGTCTCCGGACAGCGCTGGCCCCCAGCCTCTTGAGTGAGATGGGCGCACAACCCTAGAGTCTGTCAAGACTGGCCCGTACGGGCAGGGGTACCTTTACCTTTACCTTTATCCCTCCAAAAAAGAAATTTAAGGACTGATTGTGAATGAGACAGGGATCGGGAGCTAAGATATTCTTAGCTCCCTCAGGAGTCTGAGCATCTCAGAACAGGGGGACAAGGTAACTGGGAACTAATATTGGAAACAGAGGTTTCTTCTCTCTGCCCATCTCTTCTCTTTCCTGTTTCATAAATAGCCGGGGTACAAGTGCAAGGGGGACAAAGACTGCAAGAAGCCCGTCCCCACCGCCACAGGAGCAGGTAAGCAACAGACAAGGAAGGAGCGGTGTACAAATGAAAGGCTTGTCTTTACCTTTCATTGTCACTGTGAAATGTATTGGCTTTGGCTCATCGTTGGCAGAATGATCTATACACCATTGACCTACTTTTTTTCATACCCAATGGTCTGAGGGCACATGAATGATGCTGTGACAGTGGGGGGGGGGGAGCCAAGCAGGGGCTGGTTGGTACTTGGATTGCTCTGTACAGAATTTTATTTTTAGAACAATTTCTGGGATGACGGGAAGGATAAATAGTTGGAATGTGTGGAACTTATTTTTCCCACCATACGTTCTTGAGTTGTGTTGAAACAAGGCTGGTGGACAGGCATCCAGCACAGGAAAAACTGTGGTTTAAAAAGAATAATGTGGCTTTAGAGATTATTTTGATTAAGACTGTCCACAGGCTCCAGCTGAATCAGCTCCCAAACCAAATCAGGCCAGTTCAGGTTGACCTGGGGTTCAGCCAGGTTGAGGCAGTCATGGATTGCCCCACAGTGGATTAGATGTGCTTGATTAAAAGGCAGGTGGTTGGGTGGCGGCTGAGGAGAGCGTGGAAACTGCAATGGGCCCCTTCTAATGAGCTGGAGAGTTCCATCCAGTTTTGCTATTTGAGGTGAACTACAAATTCTCAAGTAATCTTTGAATGAAGACATGGCTTCCTGACATGCTGAGCTTTGCTTTTTTTTACCATGACATTTTCCTGATGGAGTGTTTCCTTCTGCAGGGATCCTGACGGGCCGATGTGTTAATTACAATTCCACTTTCCAGACCTGTCAGATCCAGGGTTGGTGCCCAGCAGAGGTGGACAATGTAAACGTGTAAGTGCTTGGACCATGATTATTTCAAAGAGAAGGAACATTGACCCCACTGTGAACCTTCAATCAGAGCTGGCGTCCTAGTCAACTGACTAGTCAAATAATGCCCAGCAGACCTGCCAACTCTTGCCTGTAGTCAACTATTTATTGAGGCCAAAAATGTCCTTGCGTAGGTGGTGGCTTAGCTTTTCCATTCATTTTAATCTGACCTGGAAGTACAGGATGGTTCTTTGACAGTTATCCCAGTACTGATTCAGTGCCTTCTTAAGACTTCCAGCTTCAGGTGACTTGAGCATCATAACCAGGCCCCAACTGGTGGATGCATGAAATGTCTTAGTGCCTCACAGACAAGTATAGGCTTGTTCCTGATTTAAAATGAGGAAATCCCCCATATACGGCAATTTTTAAAAAAAACATATGGCACGGAAACCTGAAACCTCAACATGAACTATATTGCCACTATCAGAGATCATGGAATCATAGAATTGTAGATTAGGAAGGAGTCCCAAGGGTCATCTAGTCCAACCCCCTGCAATGCAGGGGAAACTCAGCTCAAGCATCCGTGACAGCTGGCCACCCAATCTCTGCTTAAAAACCTCCAAGGAAGGAGTTATTTCATCTTATTTCACCTGGTTATTTCATTTGATTAAAAGGTGGTGATGTGGTCATATCCTTCACCACATCTGAGGCAGCAATCTTCTTCAGGAGGTCAGGACATGCCCCACTGAAAGCACAGACAGCCCTTGTCCTCCAACAGAGGGAAATGGCTAGCAGGGCTAGCCTTAGGAGGAATAGCCAGGAGACATTTGCCACTTAAGGCAGTCCCCTCATTTTGCCTAATGGCTGGGCCAGCCCTGCAGTACTCCGCCCTGCTGCAAATGATCAATTTCCTTTACTTTTCTCCCTACAGACCTGTCATGCTAGAAGCAGAAAACTTCACCCTCTTCATTAAGAACAGCATCCGTTTCCCCCTGTTCAATTTTGAAAAGTGAGTAAATTGGCTCCAGCCTATAAACCTGAGTGGGGATGGCATTCAGGAATGTGGCTCCCGATACACTTGGTCTGAAAGCTGCCCTCTGGAAATTTCCCTTGGCCAGAGGTTTTCCTCATCCTGCTGGAATTGTGTTCTCTGGCAGTTGCAGGAGAGCTCCGTGCAAAGGGTGGGAGGTGGTGGCACAGACTGACAGTGGCTGGGCTGCAACAGGCCTCCTGGGCCATCAAACCAGTCTGCAGCATAGGGCAGGGACAGGGAACTGTGCGGCTCTCCCCCCACCCCTACCAATACTCTTGGACTCCAGCTCCCATCAGCCCCAGTCAGCATGCCCAGTAGTCAGAAATGATGGGAACTGTATCCCAACACCACCAGTTCCCTATCTGCAGCATAGGCATAGCCACTCAATGGCATTTGGCTGAGTATGTCATCTCTGTCAAGCACAGTCTAATGCAGATTCCCAAATCTGGTGGCCACCAGGTGATGGGAATTGTAGTCTGGAACACCTGGAGGGTTAATGTGCAGTGTAGTGGGTGCAGGTTGCATGTCAGCAAAGCAGGCTCTTCCACACCAATATTATTCTTTCCTCTCTAGAGATTCAGGTTTGGGGGGGGGGGGTTGCGAACAGTAAGAATGTGAATTGTGCCAGCAAGCAGAGAGACCCCTATAATGACCTCTCTCCCTCATAATGTCTCCAAGCAAGTTATTTTTATTTATTTTATTTCATAAAATTTATATATTTAGCATTTATTGATTGTAAGGTGAAACCTCAAAGCAGTCCATATTGACTCTGCATTCCCCTTGGCCACTGGGGAGAGTCAGGGCTCGCTGTTTCATTGTCAAGCAAGTTGTGCCGCAAAAGTAGACTGGGAAGGTTCAGAGAGCAGCTCACACATTCCCTAGCAAACGTTGCAGTTCTTCTGGCCAGTCTCCTTCACCCTGTGATGGCTGTGGCTCTAGTGTCACCTCCAATTACTTCTAGGTGAAGGGAGCAGTAGGGCAGGCTCCTCAGACCGAGTTGCATTGCACCACCAAGCCCTGACTTTTCTTGCCTCTGACTTTCCTCACTCTCTTCATTTGGGGCTCAGCAGTTCTCGTCTCAGTCTGACTTGCTTTGCCTCCTTCCCAGGGGAAACCTCCTACCCAACCTCACAGCTGAAGATATCAAGAGATGCCGCTTCAACCCTGTGGAGCAACCCTTCTGCCCCATCCTGCGCCTTGGGGATATAGTGAAATTTGCTGGGCAAGACTTTGCCCAATTGGCTGACACAGTGAGTATTACTGCTGCCAATACAAAACACTGGATTGGGTGTTCTGTGGCTGCTGTGGGGTAATGGCCAGGATTGCAGTTTTGAGCATTGGAAGCCTAGTTTCTGACCTGAATCTCCCCCTCAGCTATGATGCTTTCTCAGTGGCCTTGCAAACTCACTGATACACAGTCTGTCCTACCTTGCAAGGTTGCTGAAATTCTAAAGTACAGCTCTGATCTCCTTAGAGATCAGAGCAGGGATATAAATGTACATCACAACCATTGAAATAAATGGTGCAACAGTGGTACCAGGATGAAAGCATTTGCAAACAGAGATAGCAGGGACCACAGGCATGGGGTTAGGGTGGATAACTTTATGGTGATGTTCATAAGATTACACCCCTGTACTTTGGAGGTGCCACTCCTCAGCCCCTCCAAATACAGCTCTGAAATCCTGGAGAGCTGCTGCCACTCAGTGTGGACAATATTGAACTTGATGGGCCACTTTCTGGAAGCTTGGGTGCAACTCAGCTTACAGCAAGAGGGAGTTAGAACAGATAGTGTAGGAATCTGGAGGTTGCTTACTCTAGCTCTGTACCTTTGATCTCTACGCTGACTTCTCTATCTTTTGGTATTAAGACTGATATCCTTAAGTTACATTCTCTCTAACTTTCGCCTCCCTCTCCCTCTCCTCTTTTGGACCTTGAGATGAGAGGTCAACAAAAGAAGCAAGCATATTATTTCTCCAGCCTAGTTAGCTTAAAACTAGAACCTCTACCCTACCCAAGTTATATGCTTCCCATAATAAAATCATTTGCTACTTTTCCTCAACAAGGGTCTGTGTGTGACCATAACAGGCAAACCTTCACACTTACAGTTACAAGCTGTCTCAATTCCATTACTGATGGTCTCTGTCTCTGTGTAAAGCAGATTCCTATCGTCCTAATGGATCCAGAATAGCTATCACTCATTCACAATCCATTGGTAGCCAGGATTAGAACCCCTCACACCATGTGTAAGCATGAATTAAAAAGATGGTGGTGGGGGGAACCCATCCTTGTACTATACAGTGGTACCTTGGTTTTTCGAACTTAATACGTTCCGGAAGACCATTCGAATTCTGAAACGTTCGAAAACCAAAAACTCAATACAGAAGCCTTAATACAGTAAACACAATATGGAAAACTCAGTACGGAAGCCGCGTGGCATGTTCGACTTCCAAGGGGCATTCAAAAACTGAAATGTTTGTCAACAAAGACATTCGGAAACCGATGTACCACTGTATTTTAGTGACCCTAATTTGCACAATAAACTAATTAAAGACCACAAAAGCATAATTTAATTAGTATGACGTGATCTTGGGCCACATGCCTTTAGAACTGGCTCTGTGTCTGTGAAGTTCCTTGGCCCTGCTTACTGGCCAGAAACTCCCTGCTCGCTTGTAGGGAGATTTTGCCTGAGGGTGTGTTTTTCCACACAGGGTGGGATAATAGGGATCAAGATCGGATGGGTGTGTGACCTGGACCATTCTTGGGATCGCTGCGTCCCCAGCTATTCATTCAACCGGCTTGATGGTGTCTCTGAAAAGAACAAAGTCTCTAATGGATACAATTTCAGGTAAGTGCGGAGCTTTTCAGTCCTCAATCAAAACCAATACTCGGAATCCCTTCCCCTGTTGCAATGACTTTGTAATTTAAGATTCCTCCCCACATTCTCACCCTTGCTGTGGCTTGTGTACATGGTGTCCTGTGCACTTTCGCGCCCACCCACACATCTTCCACCTGCTTTTCCCCCTGTGCAGATACACCAGAGGCAGCCCTCATTATATATGACTTTTCAGCTGCAGAACTCGTCTCACACATAAGACACATCTGCTCTGTACATAAATGCAGGTGTCCTTACTCTGCCAGCCACACAGAGAGAACAAAGGGGAAGAATGGCAGTTCAGTAGCAGAGGGCACAATTTGCATGCAGAAGGTGCCTGGTTCAACCCTTGCTCTTTCTAGGTGAATTATCAGATAGGTGAAAGAAAGAAAAATCTGTTTGAGAATTTGAAGCGCTTCTGTCAGTCAGAATAGACCAACAGTCATCAATATTTTGAGACCTGGGACCCACCTTTAACCCAGTCTTGCATTTGACACCCATTTCTTATCCTTTTTACCACATATTTTGTATGATAGTTGTGCCACTGTTGCAGCCCATCTCAGATCAGGCTGTGAGATAGCAGTGTTTCCTGACACACCCACAGCAGACCAATGGAGTAGAAGGTATTGAGCTAGCGAATTATTAGTGTAGCTCATTTTGAAACAGCTTCCTGTGTATTTTGGGGTCCCAGCACCTTTAACTGTTTCATTTATTTCTCATGGTGTGATAGGAAGTTTTGTAACTATGTACTGGTGTGTTGAGGCACTCAGGGTTCTATCCAACAAAGTTGCCCATTTCCCCAAAGACTTTTGCTTGTGCAACAGAACTTCTCCTCCCTCTCCCTGTACACCCACCCATTCTGTCCCCTTAACCTTCTAGAGTACATGGGAAGTGGAGAGGGAAGGGAAGTCCTTGTGTAACAGGATGGCTCTGTTGGACACAACCCACAGTATGCAAGTAACAGCCTTAGTGCCTTCTAGCTGCTAGCTGGCAAGCATTCTATTGCAGGTTCACAGCCTTCCGACTCTCCTCGTCTACTGTTACAACCATCCAATGGCACCTCACTGTTATGTTTACCTTGCATGGATGTGTATGTACATGCAATTATGTGTTTGCTGTCAGCCTAAACAGACCCATGGACCTGTGTGTGTCCCTTTCCCTCGCCCACAGATATGCCAAATACTACAAGCAAGAGAACGGCACAGAGTTCCGCACCCTCATGAAAGCCTTTGGCATTCGCTTTGATGTTCTGGTATACGGGAATGTGAGTGGAACAGGGCAACTGCGTGAACAGAAAGCAATGGCTAGGCAGAGGCCTGCTGGGATATGGTGGGAGAGAGTTAAATCTTAACTAATGCCCAGGGAGTTAAAAGCCCAGGTCCTTGTGCATTTACAAAGGCAATATGTCTTGCAAGGGGTACTTTTAGCACAATCCTATACATGTCTATCCTGATGAGCCTCATAAAATTCAAGGGAACGTACTTCCAGGTGTCCAATTGTAAGATTTCAGCTACAGTATTTTAATGAAAGGAATCAGGTTGATCCAGACTGAAGCTGCAGTCCTGACCATGTCTATTCAGAAGTAAACACTGTTGAATTCAGTGGGATTTACTAGCAGTTCAAAAGCACGTCGAAGTGCAAGCAGATAAATAGGTACCGCTCCTGCGGAAAGGTAAACGGTGTTTCCGTGTGCTGCTCTGGTTTCACCAGAAGTGGCTTAGTCATGCTGGCCACATGATCCGTAACCCCAGAGTCGTCCTGGACCTAATGGTAAGGGGTCCCTTTTACCTTAAGTGGAGTTAGGATCACAGCCCAAGTTAGTTGAAATCAGAAGAGCAGCTTTGGGGCGGGGGGGGGGGGCGTTTTTAATGAATTCTATATCAACGAAACATAAACTAAACTAAAACAGTGCTAACAGAAAAGAATCTCTAAAGTAAATAAGAAGTGATAATGTTAGGATCTTGAAGGATATGCATACATTCAAAAATTATTCCTTCAAAACATCACAAATAAAACCCACCTTTTCACAAATGTGTTCAGATGCTGCTGGTTACCCATTCAGCTGTAGTATGTTAATTAATCAATAATTCCATATTGAATTATTATTGTGGAACTGTGGATTCTTGACCATCAAAGTGCCACCAGTGGCCATGGCCAAGAAGGTAACCTGGAATGATTAAGATGACAGTGGCATCCATGATTGCGGCCCTTCTACAGAGAGCTGCAAGCTAAGGTAGAGCTGCTTTCATGAATAGCCCAAGAACGCCTTTCACAACTGGAAGGGGAGCCATTTTGGTGGTATCATAGTTTGCTGACATTTATTCCAATCCTCTGATTCTTCAAGGAGAACCGCTTTTGGTATGCTAACTTTGCCTTGTGTTCCCTCAGGCTGGGAAATTCAACATCATCCCAACCCTCATCAACACAGTGGCAGCCTTCACGTCTGTTGGGGTGGTAAGCATTTTGGATTGCCCAAGGTTTCATCATGTCTTCTCTCCTTTCATTGTTTAGTCCAAAGAACTGATTGGATTTGACCGTTCATGGGTTTTAGTTCTCAGAACACACCCGATTAAGACAAGGTTCCCTAGTGTGGACACTTTTTCAGCCCCAGAGCTACATTTCCTTCTGGACAGCCAGAGTGCTCTTGCCCTTCCTTCCTGCTTGCAAACTTCCCACAGGCATTTGGCTGGCCACTGTGAGAGCAGGATGTTGGACTAGATGGGCCATGGGCCTGATCCACCAGCCTCTCTTTATGTCCGTATGGATTCTCCGACTGGGGAGGAGAGTGGAAAGTGCTGGGTTTTAGGAAGCTCTGGAGGATCAAGGATTTGAGCTTCCTCTTGGACAGGAAGCTTTTTTCTAATCTGAAAATGTTGATTAATGCACCAGTCAGTCAGTTATGCCCAGAGTTGCTTCTTCTGCTGTACCATTTTGCCTGGCCACTTCTCCTGTGAGAGGCCATCTCACCTGTTCTCTTCTCACTTCAGGGGACAGTCTTGTGTGACATTATTCTCCTCAACTTCCTGAAGGGAGCAGATCAGTACAAGGCCAAGAAATTTGAAGAGGTGGGTCTCTACAGTACACAGTTAAGTTCATTGACAGCAAAAGTACCCCCATGCCAGTAGACCTCAGCCTTTTCAGACCAGGACCCTCTTATGGTTGTAGTGCTGCTGTTGTAACCCATCTTATGTCAAATGATGACCTAGCAGTGCATCTTGGCCCACCAGCTGAAGATCAGTTATAGTAGACTCTGCTCGCTATGGGGAAAGCTCCCCTCTACTCCCCTTGTTACCTCTGCCCCCAGCCTTGTTCACACGTAACACTGAACCAAACCATGGCTCAGTGTAAATGAGCAAGTGTGAGAACACTGCAGCCTCTTCACTTCTTCCCTGCTCTTGCCCTGTCACAAGGAGCTAAGTCACAGTCTGCAGAGTAGAGCTTGAGAAGAAATGTTCAGGATTGTGCAAGCTAGTGTGGGGCAGGGGTTCGAGCGTTGGGCAAGGCCTTAGAAGACACAGGATCAAATCCCCACTTGGCAATGAAGCTCATTAGGTAACTTTGGGCAAGTTACTGTGTCTTGGCCTAACTTAACCTCTCTGGGTTGTTGTGGGGAGAACCATGTATGCCACCTTGAGCTCCTTAGAGGAAAAGTATGCTATAGAGGTAATAAATAGGAATAATAATGATTCCTCTACAAAGGTAACAGCTTTCTGTCTCTCTCCGCACCCAGGTGTCAGAGAAAGTGTTGCATCCAGACACTTCTGGAAGCCCCATTTACCAGAACAACCAGACCCTGGGACGTCGTTGTGAGGAGAAACAGTCAACTGATTCAGGCACCTTCTCAATTGGACTCTAACAGACAGACATGTGAAGAGGACATTAACAAATTTCCTACATTGCTCTGCTGTCATGGGTGCTGCCCCACATAACAGCCCTTCAATTTGGAGCCTTCTGTCACATCGCACCACTGGGGTTGAGGGAACTGGTTGGTTGGTCTCAGTTTACTGTGTGCTTCCCAATTCTCTCTCTCTCCTCCTCTCTGTTTTTTCTCAGTTTCACATCATGGCCCACCTCTCCCAGGGAAGCTTGTGAGTCTTAACTTGTCAAAGACTCATATCCCCTCTCACCTCTTCCTTGAGAAAATAGCCACAACAAAAAGTGTTATTTAAAGAAAAGGAGATTCCTGGGTCACCAACACCAGTGCATTAAAAGTGGGTGTGGGATGATCACCCAAAAAAACTCTTAAGAGTTCCAGTAGAACGGGAAAATGTATCAGTGGAAAACTGCTTTTCACACTGAACCCATGACTCTCAGATTCACTATGGGGTGGCACGGCAGCAGCATCAAATCTCCACCTCATGAGCTGAGCTGTACCATGTGGTGACATTACATAAGAACACCTAAAGTCACAACTAGACCAGCATCCTAGTCACAAATGCCTGTGGGAAGCACACATGCAGGACTTACATGCAGCAGTCCTCTCCCCACTTGGGAATTCCACCAACAGGAATACAGGGGCAGCCAGTGGAGTTTGGACAGAGCCATGATGGCTAGCAGCCATTGATAACACTCACCCTCTTTTAAAGCCATTCAACTTGGTACCATCATTACATCTAGTGAGAGCAAATGTCATACTTCAACTGTGCAGAATGGAGAAGTTCTTCCTTTTGTTTCTCCCAATATTTAACTTACTGGATGGCTGAGTTCTAGTATTATGAGAGATGGAGAAGTTTTCTCACATGACCTTTGTGTTGATCCATGTGACAGTATTTTATGCAGAGATGGAGAAGTTTAAAACACTGTCACATGGATGACACAAAGGTCACGTGAGAGGGTGGTGGTTAGGGAGCTTTAACCATTCCTTCACCTACCAAATGGCCAGGCCTTTTGGGCAAAGTGATGGAAGTTTCTGAATAAAAATAAAAATGCATGCGTAATCTATGAGGCAAGAAAACATGGATGTGCTGTAAATAGTGGTGGGTTTGTTTGTTTTTCATTCTGTGACAACGCTGATAGGTACTCCCTACTCCAAGAGCAGTGGAGACAATACAGCCCTTGGATGAGAGAGAACCAGAGACTTACGATGTCTAATATTGGTTCCATTTTCAAATGTAGAAGCAGGGTCCAGTGGAAGAAAGTGGGCCCCTGCAGCAGACACCACAGCTCCTAATCCTATATCAGGTTCCCCAAAGGAACATTAAAAGCTGCCTTATACCCAGCTGGATCACTGGGGTCCATCTAGTCCATTACTGTCTTCATTGCTTTGCAGTAGCTTTCTGAATTTTTCCAGACGTGAATCTCTCCCTGCCCTACCTGGAAATTGAACCTTCGACGTGCAAACCAGATGCTCTATGATAGAGCTAAGACACTTCTCCAAAGCAACAGCTTGGACCACTGGAGCCTCTCCTGCTGCTTTCAGCCCACTAAACTTGTAGCTCGATCTACCCCACATTCAAAATTGGCAAGTGCTTCCCCACCACTCCAGCCTCGCTGTTGCCAAGCACTGACCCCAATCGCAGGTGATCTACCCTTTCAGGAAGAACACCCCCCCAACTGTTTGCCTCCCCCAGGAAACATCCGCTCAGGTAGCAAACACTCCGCCCAGGAAAGGATGGTCATCTGGCAGGTGTAACATGGATTTATGATGTAAATTCTTTTGGAAGGTTCATAGCTTGATCAAGTGAGAGCAATATGCGTGTCCTTCTGCTGGATTGGAAACTGTCATGCATGCACAGTCGTTCGCATTTGATCACTGAATGTCATAATCAAGGCTGTGCATGCAACTCTCAGTACCAGATTGGACTGTCACATAGAGTGATGGAAAAATGGTCGGTGGGGTGCTGTCTCCTTTGACTCTGCTAATCACCTATTTGAGAGGGGTAGGCCCTGCTGGAATCAGCACTTTCCTTTGTATTCTAGAATCCTTCAGGCTGCCTGACTCACAGGCACTAGCTTCTGCCTTTATGAGAGGCAGGAACACAGGCAGAGACTTCAGATGGCACAAATGGCCCCCTTAACTTAGGGCACAACACGATAACACAGGAGATGATGCATACTTTCCCATGCTGCTGGTGCAAGCTTATACGTAGATGAGCTTGCAGAAGAGAAGCATCAGCTCAAAGAATAATGACTAAGAATATTCGTGAATAGTTAGCTGGTGCTTGAGCCAGAAACACAAACATCCCATGTTAACCTGCCTGTAGCAGCAAAGCCACAGAAATCTCTTTCCGGGCAGTCATAAGAAACTGCTATTGGCAGCAGGTGCCCCGGATTCTGCCCAAATTTGTGGGTGTCTGGCGCATGTGGAAGATGTCATGTGGCAGGAGTAGGCCTGATGGGGCCTGTCGCAGCCTCTGGAGGGCCTGATGGGACCCAGCATGGCTGCAGGTAGGCCCAAGGGGGCCTGCGCCACAGCGGGCGTGCTGACATCAGACACATGCTCCCCTGTGGTGCGTGGCTCCAGTGCAGAAATTTGTGGGTGCCCGGCCCCTTCATGGGGAATGTTGTGGGGGCTTGAGCACCCAGCCCCCCCCCATCCAGCATCTATGACTGGCAGAATTGATAAGTCCTGGCTTTTGAGGAAATTTTCTTGTTTTGCAAAAGCTTCTAGAAGTGTTAAAACTGCTGCATGAAAGACTACTTTGGAAATCTCTCTTCAGCAGGGAGTAAGAGCATCACTATTTCATGCAGTATTCAACTTAAGTAAACTTTGAATATAAACATAGACGTCAGTATGTGTTTGACAGAAAGAACCAGCAGCATATAAGCCGCCTCAACAAGCTTAACTTTTTGAAAAACAACAACAAACCATTGGCTCTCATTGAAGCTATTCAAGTCAGAAGAACACAGTGTGAATGTGTGGTAAAAGGATAAGCTTCCAGGCTCACAATCCTACAGGTCCATCAGCCCCATCCATCTCCTGCCCTGTCTTGGATTCAGATTCCCCCTCCTGCCACAAGCCTCTCTATACAGGTGTCTTACTTATTTTGAGACAGCACCGGTCATCTGTTTATTCCTTTAAATTTGCATCTCATCTTTTTTCCTGCCATGGAACCCAAGGCAAGGAACATGTGGTTCCTAGGCAGCCTGTCAGGAACCACATAAAAAGGAGGAGGCTAGAGCCCCTTCTAAGGTTGGCTGGTGAAATGACCCCACCCCCAAGGGATGGTCTGGCAACACAACAAAACCTGCTGTTGTAGTCAATGCTATAATTGATACAATTATAGTACGCAACAAGTCACTACACTTTCTTGCTGTACCTTGAAAGGAGAGTTTATCTGTGATGGGAAGAGCTGTGCACCTGTGTGTGTGTGTGTGTGTGAGAGAGAGAGAGAGAGAGAGAGAGAGAGAGAGAGAGAGAGAGAAATTGATGCGGAACATCAGGTTTCTTATTCTTCTGCTATTCTACAGTATTTATGAACTTTCATTACAGTTGGGTTCCCTTCTGAATTTAATTTAATACTGGACTTCTTAACTACAACACAATGCCTGAAACTAGTGCATCTTTCCACAATTGATTTTTTTATATAAAAAAGACAAGCTTTATTGAAGTATTCAAATGGCATAGGGTGTTGGTTTTTTTCATTCCACAACTAAAAAAAATTTTTTTTTTGAAGGAATATCTCCCAAGCTGTGTAATGGACTTTGGTTCTTAAAAACCAATATCAAATATATCTATTTAATAATTCAAAACAATGAGGGTAGACTGTTTTTCAACTAATTCAAAAACTTAATGGGAGACAAAAATGTTAAATCTTCCACTTTAAAGAGTTGCATTTTCTGACATATTAAACATCCTAACTTGGTACCTGCTCTAATACTGGCTTGTTTGTATGATTCACAAAAATATAGCTCTGTTAATAAACAAAATAAATGTAAGTGAAATACAACCTAAATTCCCACACTAGGAGGATACAATATAGGTTTGATTCCTAGAAAAATAACACTCTAGAGAGAGGGAGCAATAAACTGTGGTTTGGTAACACAGATATGTTTAAGTCCATTTCTTTCAAGGGACTTAAGCACACCTGACTGTGTTGGACTGTGACCAGATTTTGCTGGGAATGAAGCTCAGAGAGAGAGGAGGCTTCTTCCTCAGTTCCCTTTTCAAATCTTCTTAAGGTTCCCTTTTGATAGGAGAGGTTCGCAAAGTCTACACAGTGAAGGGCTCAGATAGAAGACTCCAGGCCTTCCTTCTTGCCTGCAGTTAAGGCTGGGGAGCCTGCGATGTTATGTTCATTCTGCCGCCGCTTGCACTCCAACCACACCATCACTGGGTTGACCAAAGCCAGAAACATTAGGACTACGAGACCAATATTCACCTGGAAAAAAGAGATGCACTATTAATATGCAGGCGGCTGCTTCTAAAAATGTTCCTTTCTGGGGGGCTCTGGGAAATGTGAAGTGTCTGAGGCTGGCACCTAGCCCAGAGAGCTATCTGGGTCTCTATGCCTGCTCTGCGTAGAGGCAGAAGGGAATAGGTGTATGCAAGTGGCAGGCAGAATGAAGGCTTTGAATCAGCCAGGCCTATGGCAGCCACTTATGCAGCACCAAAAAAGAGAGGAAATGCATCAGCACCACTCCCCGCCCAAAGGACAAATGAGGACAGAGACTTGCATATTTCCATATGCTAATTTATAACTATACGTGCAAATTCAAAAAATGACTATTTCAAATAAAAAATGCAATATATCTAGTCCTACTTGGGACAACAGACCAGGTGCCCTGTATGCTGAATTTGCTGTCCAGGTCCCCTGCCCATTTAAACTCGACTTGGACTAATAGACTTCGCCCTGAAGAGCAGGACACACTCAGGCCCAGATATACCGGTATATTACAATACATGGGGCCTGGCCTTTTGCCTGGTCAACAGAGTAGTACGTCAGGTCTCCTAGCTCCATGTTCACTACCGTCTGTTCCTCAAAGAAGTAGAGATCCCCATTTGGAGTACTGACTGTCACGTGGTGAAACAGACTCATTAGGGCACAAAACACTCACATAAAAGGGATCCCCGTTGAGTGGGCCCCTGATGAGCGAGAAGCAGGGGTATTGCAGGAGAGACACCACGGCTGAGAGCCCCATCACCAGGCCGTAGAGTTTCCCAAAGTGTTCCAAGGGGAAGCTGCCAAGACACAGAGTGGGGGAGGGGGAGGAAGAAGGACATGGAAATTGTGGCACGGCATGTCTAAGCGGACTATCCTCTTCACAGTGACTTGTCACTATGTGCTGCTTCTCCACCACCCATCCTTCTATATTTTAATTTCTTTCCGTGTTCCTTTCCTTCCTCATCAGGAGGAAGGACAGCAGACCTGCATCCCTCATATGGTCAAGGAACAGGGCAGGACATTTGTTTACAGCATCTGCATCACTATTTCATGGCACCCACATACCCTCCAACATTTCTCCAATGAAAATAGGGCTGTCCCATTCCATAATGATAATTTTGTACCCCACACATCTAACTGGGTTGCCCCAGCCACTCTAGGCAGCTTCCAACCAGCGGCAGAGCATGCTCCCGAGGGGCGCATGGTGCGGATGGTGCCCTCAAAGGGGGTGGAGTGAGCCACTCATGACGGACATTTGGCGCGCCACCTGTCTGCGACTCCCAAGCCTCCCCCAAGCTGTCAAAACAAAGGGGGAAGGGGGGAATGCCGCTGGCAAAGCGGCGCAGCTCCCCCGCTTACCCCGATGGCTCAAGGTAGGCTTGGGAGTTGCGGGCAGCGCACCGAATGCCACCCCCCCCCCAGTGAGGGCACCCGGGGTGGTCCGCTCCCACCCACCCCCTTCCTATGCCCCTGCTTCCAACATATGTAAAGACATAATAAAACATTAAACATTAAAAAAGTGTCCCTATACAGGATTGGCTTCAGACGTCTCAGGGGGCAGATACAGTACCCTCCAACATTTCTCCAATTAAAAAAGGGAAATCGTAAGGAAAAGTGGGACATTCCACTTTCAAATCAGAAACTGGGATGGCTTCTCTAAATCAGGGACATCCCTGGAAAATAGGGACACTTGGAGGGTCTGCACCCACACTGCAACAAAGGGCTTTTCATTAAATCCATTGAAGGAAAATTCCATGCTAACATGTGGCCTGCCTCCTCAATGACTAGCTTAAAATGAAAACAACCAGCAGATTTAGCACTCATACTAAGCCCTTTCCTCATATCTGCTTTCTTTAGTATTTTAAGCCAAGTGCAACAGTCACTTGTCATACACTGC